CTTAAATCACCATGCAGTTGGCCGATCTAGGGCTGCATGAGAGAACAACTTCAAGGAACCTTCAACCTGCTCTGATACCAAGTAGAGATCACTAATTGCAGATTTAGTCRAGTTTCTTGTGAAGGAAAGAGGGGGAAGATGAAGATTTCAGCAGTAGAGAAGAAAGGAGAAGAAGAAGAGAGGAGGAAGTCAACCAGGATTGTGAAATCAACCCTAGCCGCCCCCCTCTCATTATATTTATGCTTAACTTAAAAAGATGAGATATTACAAGGATGCCCTTAGTAGGCGGCTACTAAAAGCTGAATAGTCACAACTTAAAAAAACATAAACTAATGGGCCTAAAGCCCAACAACTTCCTCACTAAATAAAAACAAACCGGACCAACTTAACACTAGATATACCTATATATGAATTTTATGTGATTAATATTCCAATTCAAACCTAATTGGACAAATTAAATTTGGATTAGTAAAGTAGGTTAAAGGAGTGCACTTAATTCTATTTGCGATGCTATGTTCAAACTATGCATCATGTGACATAATCATGAAGGATTTTCTCTGGGAGCCAAGGGAAAAAAAGAAGGATCACTTGATTAGATCGGAAAAGGTGGTGAAATTAAAGGCAGAAGGGGGGCTAGAAAGGGAATTGGTAATATCAAGTTGAAGAATATGGCTTTTCTTAGCAAATGGCTTTGGAGATTCCCTAATGAGAATGAGAAATTGTGTCACAAAGTTGTTGCAAGCATTCAAGGCATATCAAGCAATGGATGAGATGCTGGTTGTCTTTGTCTACCTTGGCTGCTCCTTGGAAGGTCATCCGTGAGATTCTTCCAACCTTTCTAAATCATGTCAGGTATGACTTGGCTTTGGGCCAAAAAATTAGGTTTTGGGAGGATGTGTGGATTGGGAATGCCCCCCTAGGTGAGAGGTTTCTTGTTCTTTTCTATCTTTCTGGCCATATTTGACTTTTTGGGCCAGCAACCTCATCCTTTAGGGTTGAATTGGAACTTTGGCTTTGATAGGAACCTTAGAGAAGCTGAAATTCCTAGTGTGGTTAAGTTGTTAGGCTTGCTGAATTTAGTGTATTTGGGAGAAGGGGGCTTTGATTCTAGGGTTTGGGGCCTTAATCCTGATGGATTGTTCTCTTGTTAGTCTTTCTTTAATTCTTTGGTAGCCACCTCCCCTTCTCCTTCTTTCCTAGAAAAGGCAGTTAGGTGCTTTTCCATTTCCCCAAAAATCAGTGGATTCAGTGCTTTTTGTTGGGAAGTGTTTCATGGTTGTATTAATACCTTTGACTTGCTTCAATGAAAAAGACCAACTTGGTGTTTGTCCCCCAGCTGGTGCGTTCTGTGTAAGTTAAGTGGTGAGACTGCCTTTAATCTCCTTCTTGCCCTCTTATTAGCTTTATTTGGAATTGGTTTTCTCCCCTTTTTGGATGCAGATGGTCTTTTCTTGATAGGCTAGAAGGATTGTTTAGCCCTTCTGTTTTTAGTTGCACTTGGGAGGGGTAGGGTCTTGGGGAGATGTACAAAGAGCAGTGGTGCTACGGACAGTTTGGGAGTAAAGAAATTCAAGAATATTTGAAGAAAGAGAAAGAAGCAAAGAAGCCGTGGTAGAAACCATAACTCTAAGAGTGGCACACACTGGGCAAAAAGTCTGAAACTTTTTTTTTTTTTAGATTTAAGGTTGAAGATTTCTTTCGGGCCTGGGCTGTTATTGCTGCCTCATCATCTAGAAGACAGAAACCTGTTGAGAAGTAGTCACCCCCAATATGTGGCTGGAAGAAATTGAATTTTGATGGGAGATGTCTGGGTAATCCGGGCCCCTCAGACATGGGGGGGGGGCGTCATTAGGGATGAAGGAAAATTATACCCTTATACTCTGGACCTGCTGAGCAAGGCAATGTGGCAAGAGCAGAACTATTGGCTGCAGTATATGGGGTCGAGAAGGCAAAAGAGGTGGGCATTGATAGTTTAATCATTGAGGGTGACTCAAGAATTGCTGTGAAATGGCTAAAGGAGGGGGAGGGGGTGACATGGCACTTGAGGAATGAATTTAGGCAATTTAAATTCTATCAAAGGACATGACAATTAGAGTTAAGTGGGTGAGAAGAACTGCCAACAGCTTGGGAGATGGTCTAGCTAAGCAAGGGGTACAAAGAACTCAATTGTAATTATTGGGTTGGGTATATCTGTATTTTTTTTCCTTTTTCACAACTAGACAACCACTTGTTGTATCATCCTTTGTTTTTATTAATGAAATCAATCGTGTTGCTGATAAATAAAAAGATGTAATTGAGGAATGCACTTAATACTATTCTGTGTTGGAGTTTCTCAAATGCTAGTGTTCTATTCTGCTTTTTGTGATGCTAGAAATTTGTAGTTGTGAACTTCACAATAAACCAATTGACATGGAATTTCCATAATTGAAATGAAGTAGATACAAAAAGCAGGAGTTTGTGACCTTGTGCAATTAAAATTTGCAATAATCATTAAATTATTCATGCATAATGTCTTTGTTTCTTACCCTTCAGGAATCAGGAGTTTGTGATTCATTTCATTGATTTGCAGGATGGGTCATATTCTAGAGGTCCAATCAGTATACCAGTTGGAGAAATTGATGAGTCTCATTATTTCGTTTCACCAACATTAAAGTTTGAACAAGTAGGTTGTGTTTAGTTCAATTTCAGCTTCTAACCTGATATGTTGTTTTTTGCTCATATGGCTTTTATTTTCTTTATTTTCTTTAATGATAGTTATTATCAATGTGCTTGGTGGATGTTTTCTGACTGCTGCGGCAGACATTTATTGAGTATTACATAAAGGAAAACTGCAAGTTAATGGGTTCCTTTGCCAATGCACTTGAAGCATTATTAAATCAGTGAAGTTTCTGAAGTTTGTAACCAAGTATACCAGATGCAACACTGGTGGCATAAAACCAGTGTTACCAGAATACCTGAGAACTTTTACTAATGCTGGAACCTGGAGACCTTGCTGAGTTGTCATCACTTATCACAGCAGTAGAAACATATTGAAATGCCCCAAATTGACAGACAAAAACTCCTTGTGAGAATCAATAGATAAAGTGCTGGAAATTCATAGCAACAATCTTTGTCTTTTCTTTTAATATAGGTTTGGTAAAAGAGAAAGGGGAGACCTAACCTTATCTTAATCATGGTGAACTATTGTATTTGCTCCATTACATGAAAAGGAAGTCCAAACAGTTCTTTCTGGTTTTTAATCATGTTGGCTCAATGACTAGACCAACCTGAAAAGATAACTGGCTGATGATTTGATTGCTCCGACAGTCCAGGTAGGTTTGTAAAACATTGCTGAATGTTAAATTGTTGATGATAGTTTTTATATCTCCTGAAGTTTCACCGGAAAATTCTATATTTTAACATAATATTTTCCTTAAAAAACATATTCTGTACCATTGAAATTTCTCACAAAATTCAACATGTAAATTTCCATTATTGGAAAACCAAAGTTTCCTGAATCTCCACTAGAGTCTTCTGCTTCCTTCTCAGGTTGGGACTACACAAATGCAATCAAGTACTTATTGTAATTCATGACATCTGAGTAATATTTCTTGCTATCCTTGCCTATCTTTTTTTCTTCCCTTTTTTTTTTTTTTTCATATGGAGAGGGAGCCGCCTTAAATTTTATTCATGAATAAAATGCTATCTTTACTAGATATATCTGTTATTTCCAGTTTAGTTAAGGTGACTGGGCAATGCCTAGGCATTTTGGCCCAGTAAAGTGAGTTGATGTCTAGGTGAAATTGACAACTTGGCATTGCTTGGCAACTTAGGTGGCAAGGATAAACTTATAAACATATTCATAAAAAAAGGATAAACAAATAAACATATACACAAGCACTAGTTGATTAAATGTTAATCATTAAGTATTATATTACAAAATTAATGAGTAAATGATTTATAACAATTTACACCTGATGTTAAAAGAAATAACAAGGTTTTTGAATAACCTCACCGGTTCAATGTAAATTGCACATACACAAAGGGATCAAGAACCCTAACCTTTAGCTATATATACACTTATAATGACCCAAAATGAGTTGCAAACACTCAATTCCCTAGTTGATGCCTATGCAATGCTTTGACTTTACTGGTAATTCCGTAGCTGGTCTTTCAAAGGCACACTATCCTGGACCCACAAATTTTATAGTCACTGAAATGCAGTGGATTTTTCTGGTGATGTATCAACTTCAGAAAAAATTGAGTGTGGATCTGTTTGGTCTGGTGGTGGATATTGCAAGGAGGGTTCCTCTATTATTTAATAAATATATATTACTAGTAAGGATAAGAATGTTTAGGTACAACAAAGCAGTACCTAACCCTGTAAGTTGTAAATCAGTAAGGATAAGAGGGTTATTTGATAAAAAAATCAGTAAAAATTACTTGACCAAATTTAGGGCAAGATATTGCCAATGACATAATTTTAATTAAGGTTACCATTCTTGTTTGCTGTCCTCAAAAGAAAGATTACAATAGTGTCCCAGAGTGCATTCTATAAGTTGCAAGCAGCGCTTTCAAACATGAAGCACATAAAATCTTAAAACACAGGATCTAAAGCAAAATGCACATGTGTACTAAAACAAAATTACAGATCAGCCCAAAATAGTGTTTCCCGAGTTGTGACCTGTTTTACCAAGCTATCAGCAAAGGCATTAGCTGATCTCTTCACCCACTGTACAGTAACAGTCATATTCCTTGTCAACCATTTGTGTTTCTTTAGCTCATTCTTGTAACCCCACACGATGTTCTCCGGATTATTTAACCACTCCACCACTACCTTAGAGTCCCCTTAATCAGCAACTGCTCCACACCCAATTCTTTTGCAAAGAGGATCCCTTGCATAGCAGCTAGCAATTCTGCCCTARCAGAATTCCCAACGCTCAATGGGCCAGAGTAGAGAAGGATAACCTCTCCAGTCTCATTTCTCAAGACACCTCCCATCCCAGAGGGCCCTGGGTTGCCCTGGCTACTCCCATCAAAATTCAGCTTCAGAAAACCTTGAGGAGGGGGGGGGGCAGTTTGTAGAGACCCTTTCCTTTGAGGATGAATAGCTCGCTACTGCTAACCAGTTCCTCCATAAATCATTAAAGGAAAATTAATGAAACAGTTCCATAGTCTTTAACCACTGTATTGCCCTATTCAAAATGCAGTCTTTTAGGGCCTGGCTGCTCCTCTCCTTCTCTTGGAAGATTCTAGCATTCCAAAGTTCTCCAAGGAATCACCATTCATGTTCTCAAGTCATGTGAGGTAAACGCTGCATGGGTTGAAGTGTGTATGAAGCGTACACGTTAGATATGCTCCAATCCTGAAGTGTCTGCACCACCAGTACCATCCCCTTTAAGAAAAAGCAACACAACTCATCAAAAAAGGGGAAATAAAAAAGAAAATGTCATTGCTGTTGCTTATCCGCATCCTTTCTCCTTCCTATTCAGACAGAAAAGAGAAGCCCATTATAACACCTATTTTTTTAGAAGTAATAATTCTTTTTATTACTTTGAACTATGTAATGATTATATTTTGACCCTGAGGCTGTCATAATTAGACCTGTTCATGGGCCGGGTGGCCCGACGGGCCGGTCCGGCCCGGCCCGGTCCCCGGACGGGCTTGAACATGTATATAGGCCCGCGGGCTTAACCTCGGGCCAAAAATCCCAGCCCGCAATAAATTTGAGCCGGGCTCGGGATTTGCCAAAATAGCCCGGCCCGACCTATAAATAAACCTAGAAAACCTAGTTGAATACCCCTCTTTTTTTCACCTCTTTCCCTTCTTTTTCCAACCAAATTCTTCTTCTCCACATCCTCTTTCCCTTCTTTATATATATTTTTTAATATAAATAAAATTTGAATTTATATATTTTTTTAATGTAAATAAATTCTGATTTATATTGATTATTGAATAGGGAAAATTTCTAATTTTTTTTATTAGGTCGGGCTTCGGGCTCGGGCTTGGGCTCGGGCTTCGGGCTTTTTATTAGGGCCGGGCTCGGGCTCGGGCCTAACATATTTCTGTTAATGAATAGTAAAAGCCCGGCCCGAACCCGGCCCGGCTCGGCCCATGAACAGGTCTAGTCATAATCATGTATTTTTCCTATTGGACTATCAAAGTTGTAATTTTACTCCTGGAGCAATATAAAAATAATGAAATATGAATTTATAATTAAATACTACTCATAATTGATATTTAAATTATGTGGAGCAAAAGATATTAAAAATAAACTGAACTATTAGTGATGAAAAAGGTATAAACATGTAAATTACATAAATAAAAATTGTGTTTGTTTAAATTGACTAGGAGGTATTTACTCTCTGTGATGAATTGTGCAAAAAAAGATAATATTTATCATTTATTTTTTTATTTGTTAAAACTATGCATGCATGTGAGGCGCACACTTACATATCACACATTGCAAGAAAAGAAACTTGTGTGGCACCTCAGCATCTAAAAACACTGGTTGGAAGTAAACCACAATCCCATATATAGAACATTAGGATTTTTATTTTGATCAGTAAACATTAGGATGATCACGCCAAAACAAAGTAGATGTTTTATAAAACATTGTGAGTTGTGAGGTTCAATCTGCTTCTAGGTAACCTGGGGCCTGGGCACAGCTTGCTGTGTGTTCTACCTTGTATGGTATCAGATTCTACAGCTATTACCTGATTTTAGTCTTTAGCAGTACCAGTATGTGATTTTACATATTAACTTCTATGGTGATGTTGGAATTTTGCAGGATTTTGGGCTTACAGTTTTTTTTGGTCATGCTTTCTAAATTTCAAGTATTGGAAACTAGATAATTTACCAAGCATTAGGGGCCATTGCTTGATCAAATGGTAAAAACCTTGGCCTGGCAATCTGACAATGCTACTTTGAGTCCGAGGGTGGATGATTTGTGCACAAATCAGGAGAAAAAAAGGCCAAGGGTAGGTCCATATTCAGTCCACCCCTCCCAAGACCCTGGATAGCCAGGACTAACCTTGTATAATGATCCAAAATTACCATGTATAACTGTATTTTTCTAACAAGAACAGTTTAAATTGAAATATGTACTAATGTTCAGAGAATGCATAAATGAGAAACCATTAGAATTATTTGGAAACCATTCATAAAATGGTGCACTTACACTGTAAGTTAGAATTACTAAACTGATCTAATTGTTCTGGTTGTTTTGTCAAATTTCTTTAAACAATTGGATAAATTCAGTTTTCTTACTTAGCAAAGGCTTAGTTATGTAAGTTGTGATAATCATCTAATCTTACAATTTCTGTTTCATGGCCCAGTGCTTGGTAAAAGGATGCCATAAAAGATTGCGCATTGTGCACACTATAGAATTCAGCAATGGGGGTTCAGATATACAAATAATGAGGGTAGCTGTATATGAAGAACAATGGGTCAGTCCTGCTAATCTCCCTGATCAAAGGTAACCTGTACTTCACTTTCTTTTTTAGTACTCAGTTTCATAATCTTCCATAAAGTATAAGCTTCGATCTCATAATATTTTAGAAAGCCAATATGTATCTTCTTATCTCTTAATCTGGCGCACCTGAACTTGCTGGCTTGGGCTAAACCCCACCCTGGCCTGTTGTGGTCTAAGACGAGACATAAGAGTAAACAGTTGGCTTGAGTCATTGGTCCAGCAGCGGGCTTTATTTTATTGTAGTGAGAACCTAGCTGAAACCAAATTGTTGTGGCTTATTTTGGAATCTGGTGGGCCTATGTCTTTTGGACACAGTCCAAACTTGTTATGGTGGGTTTGCTTATGTGCTCATTGCAACGACCCAGCTCTTGTGCACCTCTATTGGGATAAGAATGCCTTTTCTATGGGTATCATAGTATGTGATGGGTGTGAGGTTTGTTAGGCGATCTGAATTGGAGCAATTATAAAATCTTCAATGGGGTAATGAGGAGAGTATTTAGTTATTTGTACTTTGCAGATTTTATCCACTTTGAATATGCTATTACTCTATTAATCTATTTTGGTCCTCTTGACCTTTGTTTTTCTTTATCCTTTTTGACATCATATATCAATAAGAAGCATAGTTGTCAAGGCAACGTCTAGGCGATAAGGTGCTCATGGAGGGTAGCTTTGCTTAATAGCCAAGATATATTTTTTTACAGTGTTCTTGGATACTTTTATATTCATAACTTTTTGAGATGTAACAATAAAATAGACATCATTAAGTTAAAATACTAGTTTCTTTTTTAATTATTTTTCTCATTTGTTAGGGCTCAATCAACATGTATACTGCCTTGAACTAGGGGTGAGAACATTTGGTTTATTCGGTTAAAAACTGAACCGAACAAACCAAAATTTTGGAAACCAAATTTGTGAAATGGAAAACTGAACCAAAATTTTTAGTTAAAGCCAGATTTCATTAATATTATATATATAATGAAATTTGGTTAGTTCATTGTTTTTGGTTAACCAAATTTCCAATTCTGAAAATTGAAATCAAAACCAAAATTCTCAATAACCGAATTAACTAAACTGAAAACAAAATTTTCGGTTCAGTTTTTAAGTTTTTATCAATGACATTGATTATTTTCATCATCATTATCTTCATTCACCTTTTCTTATTTCCTAGAACAAAAATAGAGGCCAGCCCCTCTATTTTCTGAAATATCTTTTCTTTCATTTTTTTTTCATGAATATGTTGATTTTCTATGTTTCATATGAAGCTTATAGACAATTTCATTTTTTTAAGAAAATTGTAGACATATAACAAAAGATGGTTGCTGCTTGCTATGGAGCCTAAAAAAACAAATGGTTTTTATTCAAAAAAAGCCTTTCACCTATCCTCACCTTGATGCCTTCAAAACTATGATACAAACATTTATAAGAAGTATCATATATCAATAAGATCAATAGCTAATGGAAGGAATACTATGTCAATAGCAGGATTCAAGACAACCCTTATTGGGAGGGGGAAGGGATGAAACAACTATGCAAGGGTTGACAATGGCATATGGTGCTTTCCCCAGTATTTTTCCAGTTTGTTGCATCATAACCATCCCCAAAGATGGTATTTTCTTTTCTTTTCTTTTTGTTTCTTTTTTCTTCAATTGGAGAGGGTGTGGATGGGGGAATTGAACAGCAAGAAGTATGTACACCATCAAGTAGTGTGTCCAAGTGCATTTCAAGAGTGCTAAGGTGCTATGTCTTCATAACCAAGAGAATGACTTCTTTTTCTTCCAATGCTGATGTCAACATTCATTTGAGTTAATAATCTTCCCAAATTAAACATCAACTTAATCCACTAAGCATTTTCTTTCTTGTACAGTATGTAACTTTAGGCTGCATTTAGATGCGATGTAAATTAAGAACTGATGTAAAATTTACATTGGTTCGGTTTTGTAGGCGTTTGGAAAGAGGTTGTAATTATATTGACGTAAAACTCCACTCTGGTTCAGTTTTGCATGTGTTTGGATGGAGTGGAGTTTTTACACTCATCAGCTCTAAAGTTTTACATTGATATTTTACATCGATTTTGTTGATGTAAAACTTTACACTCTTCCACCCGTCGCTATTTTCATAAAGCAACGATCACTTTCTTTTTTTTTGATAAATAGCAACAGTCACTTTCATGGTTCAGTGTAAAACGTCATCCGTGTAAAAATACACCGATGACATTTTACACTGATTCAAATGCAGCCTTAAGGTTCAAATTACCATCCTTTTTCTTCACACTGCTTGGGGTGGCCACCCTGCTCAATTAGGGGTTATGTTTCCTCCTATACAATATGGTGATGATAAGTTGCTATTTATTTCCAATGAAATACTCTGATCTTGCTGCTTAATTTGTTTGCTCTGAACAGTGACGTGGGATTTGATCTGAAGCTATTTTCTCAGCGAAAAAGAACCCAACCGTCAGAGTTGACTGGGTCCTGGAAGGTGTTTGAGGTGAGTGCTACTCCAATTTTTGGTGAGGAGACAATATCCGAGGAAAGCAATGGTGCCCCCTTTGTGTATCTCTGCACTGAGACCCTGAAGAAGAGGAATTTGCCTGAAAACACTGTATACTTTGGAGAGGAAGAAATGCTGGACATGCAGGATGTGGCTGTTCTTTGGCTCCCAGGTGGTGTCACAGGTTATGTTGATGTTAACGAGGACGGAATTCTCTGCATTGGAGTTGGTTGGTATTCAGAGGAAGGAATTAACCTTGTCATGGAGAGGGATTACGGGTCAGATGGGAAGCTCAAAGAGGTTCGATGGAAATCTGAGGTGAAGAGAAGATGGCCCGACCCACTGCCTGTATAAAATATTGGTCCTCAGTCTTTTTATCTAATTCTCTCTTCATCCAAGGAAAAGAAGCGGCGGGGAGACCCGCCTTCTTTGTAAATTTCAGTTCCCTTCGTATTTTTAACCAGTGATTTCATCTTTCGAGAAATTTGAGATATGTCCAAATTCCAAAATCATTCAGTGTGTATATGCATGAGTAGCTGTGAAGCTGATTTTCGAGGTTTTGTCACTAGTTTGGTCTTTATTTTTTCGAGTTTATGGTCCGATTTCAATCATGTCCAATGTTCTTAATACCCGGATGGGCAATTGGTTAGGTTAGGTTCTTAATACGCTTTTGCTTCTCTCTTTTTTTTCTTCCCGAAACCTATTAACCTTTTTGAATGGGGATCTGCTGCGCTTTTTATCTTGCATTTCTAATTTTATATTCCGTCTGTGACAGTGTTGCATTACATTACATTTTACATTGAAGTTTTCGAGTTGGGATCTTCTGCGTTTTTTTTACAGCAGTTGCGTACTTTCCATTCATTTTGTGAATGGGGGGGGGGGCACCTCTCACTGAATGAAGTGCACAAAGTGCAGAAGATCCGGGTTCGAAGTTTTCTTTGCAATTTGTTTCTGTCCCCCAAATTTATTTCAGGTGGAGGGGCGGCCACCTGCAATTACAATTTACAAACGTGAAATTACTAACGAATTCCTGTTCCATGTGATGCAACCACAATGCAGTGGCATGCACATGCGGCAGCGAGACACTTGACCAAATGCAATCAAATATAATAATGAACAGGCCAAAGTGAACAAATTTCCATTTGACAGAAAATGAAATGTTACATGATCGGCGCAAGAAGCATATCTCCAAATATCCTGAAGATTGTCAAACTATTTGTCAATGTCAGATGGTACGGAGAATACAAGTCTGAAGATTAGGCCAACCACGATTCCAATGAGCCCCACGCAAGCAGCAAATGCTAGGGAGAAGCCGGGATCACTTCTGCGGTTCATACGTCTCCTCATCAAATCCTAAACAAGGCAGAAAGGGAAGAGCATAGTCATTTTGTGGTACATCACGTCACATCTGTTTTTTTAACCATCATATAGAAAAAAAATAAGTGCAGCTAATAAGAATTATTGTTATTAGTGATGATATTGATTAAAAATATAGAGAAAATACAGAAATTTGCAATGAAAAAAAAGGACTTAGACGGATATTGGGTTTTTAGGAATTAGATGAAAGTTTCTCGAAAATAAATGGTGTTTTATGATTAAAAACAAGGTTTAATGTGTAACTGTTACCCATTTACCAGGTTCGGTGGTTCGATGGTTCAACTGGCTTGGTCACCATGTTATTGACTCAATCAACATTTTATATTGACAAATGGTTCAAGGGGTAAACAGATCTAGATTCCTAGCCGGGTAACGGGTTGACTGATCCAACCGCCAGATCAATGAGGGGTTGAAATCATTGCTCTGTATGCAAGAGTTCACTTCCACAGTTGACAGTTCCACTACAATGAAACTTCATCCTAGGCTGCATCAGGCCAATTAAAATCAACCATGTTGCTAATGTTTCCAGACATGGTTATGAGTGATCCGCCAAATACCAATCAAAATTGATGTTTGATTAGCCAGATGCAGCATCACTTAGCACTGAACTCTCTAGGCAAGTACATCTACATATATAATGTTATGTTCCGAACAGTGAGAAAAGTAATCTAGTCCTACAAAAGGGAGTCAAGCTTGTGAGTCTGTTGAATCATCATATTCTAAACATTGATGAAACCCATTGCAATCTAGCCTGGCTAGGGTGCTTATACTATTTCCAGATGATTGAAGATTAAATTTGACAAATTATACACATCAGAGCCTTCAGCTTCAATCTATGCAATCTTGTACTTCATCAAACTCTTGACACAAAAAGAACAAAAGAATATATAATGCATAAATAGTAAAATACCAATTCCCTTTGCAACTGCTGAGTTTGTTGAATAGCCAAGTCTCTCTCCTCCTTCAGGCGCTGCACTGTGCGAATCTACATGTAGAAAAGAATTAAACAATACCACATGAATAACCTAGATCACCTAAATGAGCTTGCAGTGAATGCATAAAGCATCTGCTTCATATATGCATAATAGTAAAGAAGCTTCAGATATAACTAAATATTATAAGCTGTTTCTGCTGCCTAGACATTGAAATACACAGATAAGACAAAAAAAAAAAAAGACAACTTGGCAATATAATTATAAATTTTGCAGGCAGACATGATAACAAGAAAATTTGTTTACATACATCCATCATATTGAAGAAAATTAACTGTATGAGAGTAAAATCTCAATGTTCAGTAGTGTTCAGGCAGAAGTGATTTCTTTGGACAGATGACAACTGGTGACATTTATTGCATCTACTTCATTGGGGAAGTTAAAAGTGTGCTTCTCCTTAACTGAAGATGGGATAGATGGGATGTTGGGTTCTAATTGGAAAGTTTAATAGCACTTTCTTGTTTCCCATTGGGCAGCAGATAATAGAATGGAAGACAAGGCACAAAGTGTAATAACAGGGGGAAGGTTGTTCGAATTGAAGCATTCTCATTTGGTAGTACTATCACTTGAGTCTTGAGATAGGCCCACATGATTGGTCATGCCCCTTCCATAAATTTAGCTTTTCACTTTGTCAATGTTGAGAGAGAGAGAGAGAGAGAGAGAGAGAAATGAAAGAAAAAATAAGTTGAACTCAGACTTCACAACAAATGGTATAAGATAATGGAGAGTTGATCCAATTTAAGCATTCCCATCAGGTAGTACTATAACTTAATCAATATGAATAAAGATCTGTTTTGAGATGCAAATACGCCCACGCGAAAATTGATAAAAGTGGGTGCTAACTTGGCCATGCCCCTTCCATAAATTTCACTTTGTCCATGTTGCCCAAGCTGTTGTATCTTGAAAAGATTCTTCTTGAGGCATGGTGTTAGTGGAAAGTTTTTAGTATAATTTCTCACATAACATAATTCACCCATTTAGACTAATAACTGGCTTTTTTTTTGTTATTTTCATAAGCCCCATTCGGGAAATCACATAGATATTCCCTTAATTACATCTCTGCTAGGGCAGAGAAAACCTTTTGATTCTGATTCAGAAGTACCAATGAATAAAGACTAAACTAAGTATGAATTTTCTACAGAATTTTCCTTTGAAAAATTTGGTATATATTCCCTCTTTATTTGAGAGAAAACCAACATATAAAGAAACAAATATTGTATGCATAACAAGTAAATAGGTATCATAAAAAGCATGTTTCATCAATAAGGCTACAAATGGCCTTTAAATTGTGGTTGTGTGCATTATCATGTTGTGAGGAATCATAATCAGCCAAGTTTCATGAATAAGGCTGTAGATGGTTTTCCCCCTCACACATAGGTTAGTAGGTTGTAAGGAACCATATAATCAGCCAAGTTTCATGAACAAGGCTGTAGATGGTTGTCTCCTTACATGTATTTCAATATGAAATAAGGAAGAAAAGAAAAATAAAAGGAAGAAAGAAAGGAGTGAGAGGAATTGATAGAATATGGGCTTCCATCTCATGTGAGAAGCACAAGGAGTATCATATTGAAAAGGTGTAGGAAGAACACAAGATTCCCTACCTTCTTCTTCTTTTTTCTTTTATGCTCTCCACACCAATCTTCTTCTCTTTTCTCTTCCGACTTGTTTCTTAATGCTAGAAATCCTGCAAATCAATTAGTAAAAGCCAACAAAAAGGCATTAGCCAACAAAAAAGGCATTAGCCCCCTTCTCCTTGTAGGAGAGGGGGTTTATATAGAGGAGGGAGGTGGTTAAATAACTCCCCACTCCTCTCTTTTTAGAGTGCCAAGTGTCACCCCACTTAAAATGGGTCAAGGAGGGAAAAGAAAACTCTTCCTTCCTAAGATGGCAAGTGTCCCCCCACTTCAAGTGGTTAAATGAGGGAAAATAATTCTCTCTCCCTTAGGGTGTCATGTATTCCCCCACTTCAAGTGGTTAAAGGAGGGAAAATAACTCTCTCCCTTAGGGTGACATGTGTCCCCCCACTTCAAGTGGTTAAATGAGGGAAAATAATTCTCTCTCCCTTAGGGTGTCATGTATTCCCCCACTTCAAGTGGTTAAAGGAGGGAAAATAACTCTCTCCCTTAGGGTGACATGTGTCCCCCCACTTCAACTGGTTRRATGAGGGAAAATAAATCCTTCTCCCTAGGGTGACATGTGTGAAAACAAAAACAAATGTTTGAAGATTTCTGTTCTAATTTCATTGAGAAGATCTGTACAAATATATACAACTTCTAAGAATCAATCTAGGAGCTATTCTAGGAAACTAACCCACTAATTTAGCCTAAAGAAAAAAAGGAAAATAATCACAGCCTAAATAAGAAAATAAATAACTAAAAAAACAGGAAAGATTCTGACTCGGATTCCACAAGGAATACTCCTCGTCATCCCTTTCCAACACTCCCCCTCAAGCTGGTGAATGTATATCAATCATTCCCAGTTTGGATACATTTGTCTCAAACCCAACCCTAAGTAATGGTTTAGTGAGGATGTCTRCTTCCTGTGATCTAGATGGCACATAGGATAGACAATTTTTTCCACTTTCGATCTCTGATTTGATGAAATTTTTGTCAATGCGAACATGCTTCATTCGATTATGTTGAATAGGGTTGTGTACAATTGCTATTGCTGACTTACTGTCACTATACCGTTTCATTGGACTATTAAGTGGAACATTTAAGTCTGACAGTAGTCGTTCAAACCATATTAACTCACAAATCCCTTGTGCAATTGCCCTGTATTCTGCTTCTGCACTACTTCTGGACACAACAGTTTGCTTCTTACTTCGCCATGTAA